TTATCATATGAAAGATCTATAAAAAGGTTTAATAGAGTCTTATAAAATTGATTCTGATTCTTATTTGGAGCATATATGCCCACCACTATTGTTTTAAAGTTTTGCATTTCTATTTCTACTGCTATATACCTCCCTTCTTCATCAGCGATTACCCACTTAGGCTTTAAATTAGGCTTTACATACATTGCTATTCCATTTTTTTTTAATTTGCTACTATAAATTCATTTCCTAGCCTTTTATTAGTCAAATATTTAATATCTGTTTTTCTGATACGGGTTTCCTGAATACATACAATATTCTGCTTTAATTTATTTAGATAATGAAATATTTTTTTCCTTTTAACTGGCGCATTTACTCCATATATGTTCCATGACAAACATTTTAGTTCATTCATTAGAGAGGGGAGCTATAATTCTTTAGAATTTGAGGTTGTTGCTGCTGTATTTTGTTCTTCAGTAACCACTAGTTTCCCCTTTGTCTCTTTATCTATCTCTTTTATCTTTAGTTTGATCTGTTTCCTCCATATCTTTTCTATATTTTTTGAGAAACTCTTCCGCCTTGGGAGCTGTATTCAGCTTGTATCTATGTTAATGAAATGTCACAGTAACTCCCTCTAGTGTTTCCCACCTATATGGGGCATCAAGTAAAGATTTTAATCTGCCTCCTAAAATCCTACTCTTAATAACAATATCTCATCCCTATCCCCTCACCAGTTATATTTTCTTTGTTATTTGACATCTGTATTTGAAGCAGATTTCAGCAATCAAAACTGAAATTTATCTGTGGTATAAAATAATATACTTTTTCTACCAGTATGGTACTACACCATTGATCTGGGCAGCAAGAAAAGGACATCTGGAATGTGTAAAGTATTTGTTGCAGATGGGAGCAGATGTAGATCAGGAAGGAGCTGTGAGTATATCTTTTATTCCTAAGAAAATACTAGATAAAATATGTTTCTAATATAAAGCAGCATATTTATTAATTGATTAATGTATTCACTTTATAAGCTCCCTCAGTTATCCAAGTGAATCTAGGCATCATATGACACACCAGGCAAGGAAATGCCAAGAACTAAAGAATAAAATTCCATTATTAGTGCATGGTCGCAAACTGCCTGCTCCAAGGCATGATAAAAGAACCATGTATTAAGAGCTTTGCTAAATGACAACAAGATCCAGTCTGTGTGGACTTCGGCCGGGGAGTTGGGGGAGAGAGATGTTATCCCACAGAGTAGGGGAGAACTATATAACCTATATTACTAGTTGCTAAACAATAGATAAGGTAATGTAGGCTATGCTATCCATGTCAACCACCGGCTAATAGCATATAAGGAAAGATGAGAAGAAATGCTGTCTCTTAGCTCTGCTGAAAGGTCAGCTGCTTTAGCTTTCTTTATGCCCAGAATAGAGTTTATCCTAAATGGTTTTTCCAGGAACTCTATAACTTTAAAAGCTGGTGCTGTTCATTCCTTTTTTCCTTTTCTATGTGCTTTTCCTTTCTGTCTAGTGTCATTCAGACTATAAATCTGAAGGGATGGAGTCTCTTGTTTTTAATGGTTTTATTTTAATTTTTTTTTGAAGCCTTGTCTGATAAGCAATTTAGAAAACACTGTAAATAAACAATCTAATTTTTTTTATTAGGTGGGGAGAATGAAAAGGATGTCATAAAGATATCTAGCATCTGAAATGAAGAATGTTGAAAAAATAATAGTGGAATCATATGGTAGAATATTTAATTTATTAGGTAGTATTAGGATACAATTCTTTAAAGACCTTAGAAGATTATCATAACTGAATTGTTAACTTAAGGGAGTTCATGGAAGTGAAGTTTCCCAGCCTCACTTTCTTCCAGCAGTTGCTTGCACTCCTTGGAAATTTAAGAATCTTGAATAGGGTAAGGTGAAAGGATTGCTTTTAAAGTGAGATGAATTGCATTGAGAATCTTGTGACATACTGGACTTCTGGGGAAGGAATGGTGGACTAAGGACGGCTCTGTGAAAAGCAGAGCTGATGACTGTAGTGGAATGAAGAGCTGGAAAGTAGATCACCCGCAAGTGCTCCAGACAGCTGCTCCTTGTGAGGAGACCACAAGGCAACAGCCTCCAGTGGGTTTAGAGCTCTGGGAGATGAGGGAATAGCCATCTTGCTCAAACTGTGGTTGACACCTTTGAAAGGACGCTAAGTTCGCATACTTCCTTTTCTAATCACTTTCGGAAATTGCTTGCTAACTGCTTTTCAACTATTAGGAACCTTTGGATGGACATGTTTTATAGCACTGGGTGAGTTTCCTTCAATCTTTAGCAAAAGAAGTTTTAAGTACAAGTTTAAGGACTTTAAAAAAATGGGGGGGGGATAAACAGCAAAAGGTGTTTATTAATTAAAACTTTGATTTTAGAAAGTTTAAAATGAACTAAGGGTCCAGATAAGTTTGAAATAAGATTTTGGAATTAATTATAAAGAATCCTTCGTGTGGGAAAATGCTTTTGTTTTGAATTCTTTTAAAAAAGCATAATAAGATAAGACTTTAAAAATTGGACACTAGAGGGAATGAAAGGAAACTGAAGATTATAATTAAAGGAGAAGAACACTCAAACTCAACTCATAGTTACAAAATGAAGCAAAATATTTTAACATTGGACATATTGAAGGATATTTTTGGACCTAGAAGTTAATTTTAAGAGTGCCTCTATAGATAGACTGTGTTTAAAAGATGTTATGGAAGAGGAAAAAGTTTTACTGGACAAGATTGAGACTGATCTGAAAGTGGATTTAAAAATGACAGGCTACAAGAATGTCATGGAAAAAGATGTTACACTGGACATACAAAAGAAATCGGTGGATGTCTTAATAATTAAAAGGGATATACAAATAACAACCCAAGGGAGTGACCTGGATAATTTTCCTATATTGGATC